ACCTATCGAATATAGTATTGGAAGTTCTAGCCAGAGCAATTAGGCAAGAAAAAAAAATAAAGGGTATTCAATTAGGAAAGAGGAAGTCAAATTGTCTCTACTGGCAGACAACATGATTGTATATTTAGAAGACCCTATCATCTCAGCCCAAAGTCTTCTTAAACTGATTAGCAACTTCAGCAAAGTGTCAGGATACAAAATCAATGTGCAGAATCACAAGCATTTCTATACACCAATAACAGGCTAGCAGAGAGCCAAATCATGAGCAAACTCTCATTCACAATTGCTACAAAGAGAATAAAATACCTAGGAATACACCTAACGAGGGAGATAAAGGACCTCTTCAAGGAGAACTACAAACTACTGCTCAAGGAAATAAGAAAGGACACAAACAGATGGAAAAACATTCCATGCTCATGGTTAGGAAGCATCGATATTGTGAAAATGGCCATACTGCCCAAAGTAATTTATAGATTCAATGCTATCCCCATCAAGCTACCAATGACCTCTTCAGAGAACTGGAAAAAAACCACCTTAAACTTCATATGGAACCAAAAGAAAGCCTGCATAGCCAAGACAATCCTAAGCAAAAATAACAAAGCTGGAGGCATCATGCTACCTGACTTTATATTACAAGGCTACAGTAATCAAAACAGCATGGTACTGGTACCAAAACAGAGACATAGACCAATGGAACAGAACAGAGACCTTGGAAGCAATGAATACATCTACAACCAACTGATGTTTGACAAACCTGACAAAAACAAGCAATGAGGGAAGGATTCCCTGTTTAATAAATGATGTTGGGAAAACTGGCTAGCAGTGTGCAGAAAGAATAAACTAGACCCGTTCCTGACACCTTACACTAAAATTAACTCCAGATGGATTAAAGACTTAAACATAAAATCTGACACCATAAAAATCCTAGAAGAAAACATAGGCAAACCCATTTAGGACATAGGCATAGGCTAGCACTTCATGACTAAAACACCAAAAGCATTGGCAACAAAAGCTAAAATAGACAAATGGGACCTAATTAAACTCCAGCGCTTCTGTACAGCCAAAGAAACAATCATTAGAGTGAACTGGCAACCAACAGAATGGGAAAAATTTTTTTGCAATCTACCCATCTGACAAAGGGCTAATATCCACAATCTACGAAGAACTAAAACAGATTTACAAGAAAACAAACAAACCCATCCAAAAGTGGGTAAAGGATATGAACAGACACTTTTCAAAAGAAGACATATATAAGGCCAACAAACGTATGAAAATATGCCCCTCATCACTGATTATTAGAGAAATGAAAATCAAAACCATATTGAGATATGACCTCATGTCAGTTAGAATGGCAATCATTAAAAAATCTGGAGACAACAGATGCTAGAGAGGATGTGGAGAAATAGGAACACTTTTACACTGTTGGTGGGAGTGTAAATTAGTTCAACCATTGTGGAAGACAGTGTGGCAATTCCTCAAGGACCTAGAAATAGAAATTCCATTTGACCCAGCAATCCCATTACTGGGTATATACCCAAAGGATTATAAACAGTTCTATTATAAAGACACATACATACACACATATGTTCATAGTGGCACTGACCTGCAAAGACCTGGAACCAACCCAAATGCCCATGGACGATAGACTGGACAAGGAAAATGTGGCACATATACATCATGGAATACTATGCATTTTTTATGCAGCCATAAAAAATGATGAGTTTGTGTCCTTTGTAGGGACATGGATGAATCTGGAAACCATCATTCTCAGCAAACTGACACAAGAACAAAAAATGAAACATGGCATGTTCTCACTCATAGGTGGGTGTTGAACAATGAGAACACAGGGACACAGGGAGGGAAGCATCACACACTGGGGTCTGTTGCAGAGAGCCATGGGAGGGAGAGTGGGGGGTGGGGAGTTTGGGGAGGGATAACATGGGGATAAATGCCAGATGTAGGTGATGGGGGATGGAGGCAGCAAACCACATTGCCATCTGTGTACCTGTGCAACAATCCTGCATGATCTGTACATGTACCCCAGAACCTAAAGTACAATTTAAAAAAAAACAAAATAAATAAATAAATAATAAAGTTGTTTTTAGATGGAACAGGGACCCCATTTTGGAGCCTACTGTGTTCCTTCCCTCCCTCCTCTCACCACTGCATGGAAATAAAGAAATAAAATTTAATCCTTTCAAAGGAAATTCCAGGAACCTAGCTAGCCCTGCAACCAGTAATTAAAGAAGTACATGAATAACTTGCCAAAAAAAATACAACAAGAGCTTAAACAATAGTCACTCAACTAACATAAGAATCACAATATATTTTGTTTTCTATAGAAACTAAAGACAGTGACTTGACACATGTCCTTGAGTTGTTTGTCAGAAAAACAAGGACCCCCACCCCAGGTGCAAAATACTGACTGCTTTCATGTACATCTCAGACTAGAACCAAAAAATGGATAAAGAAGTCCCAGAAATTCCCTAGCCCTTAACTCACTTCAGCAATCCCCTCACCCTTGCCTTTAAAAACTCTTGCTTGTAAGCTTATCAGGGTGTTCAGGTCTTAAGCATTAGCTGCCTGTTTCCTTGCTTGGCCTTAGCTGCTTGCTCTCCTAAATGCCTTTCTTTCTCCTACTGCAGACCTTTGTGTTGGTGTTTGCCTTTACTGCCCAGAGATAGTGAATAGGTTCAGTGATAGCCTCTGTGTCTGCATCACCTCCTTCAGGGAACTGTAAGTTCTTCAAGACCCTCACTTAAAGTAGGGCATGGCTTTCATTCATTGCTGTAGGCATCACTGTATCTTAATAAAAACTCTACTATGTACTGTGCACTCTGCTAAGCATTTCCCATAAATTATATAAACTTTGATAAGGTAAGTACCACAAATGTGATCTTCATTTTTTGTTGAAACAGATGAATTAAACTTCTCACAGTCAGAAAATTTGTTAGTGGCAGATTCAGAACTTAAATCCAAGTCCGTTGACAACAAACACCATGCTTTTTCATTTTATATTATGTCAAAAGACAACATTATGACAAATTTAGCTTAAAGATCTAGTTGGGTTTTATGATTCTAGAATGGAACAACACCTCATTCCGTAAAACAGAATGAGTATTCCATTGAGCTGAGCAAAGGAGTTTGGCTGTATAGGCAGAAAAGAGCTGAAGAAAGCAGAAACAGAAAAAAAGCAGATCAGTCATTCCAACATTACTTCCTTGTAAGATTAAAAGAGAGGGGATTTCCTTATTGCTGACTCAGGTTGACTGGAATCTCCTGGGATTTTTTTTTAGAAAAACTAGTGCATTTCAAAGTCAATCATTGACTTTTGCTTCATGTTGTTAAATTATATACTTCACTCTCCATAACCTTCAAGATTTAAAAAAAAACCTATATAAATTAAATTTTAAAACTAGTTTTCATAAGACCTTTCTATTGCTTCCTTCCCTTAGTTTTCAAATTAATTTCCAAGACCTTCATTGTTTTGCTTATAAAATTTTGCTTTCAAAACTATATAAAATTATTTTCTTGAAAAAATGTTTAACTTTCCACCTGGTAAAGCCACTTATTTTCATTCAAGGGAGAAATAGCCCTTTATATATTTCATTTGTTTGCCAATCTTGCATCATTTTTTAAAATTACTATTATTTGAGGTAAATAAGCCTTAGTTAATAGGCTTAGCGTTTGCAAACAATTAATTTTACAGATAAAGATAACACCCTGGTATTATCATTGCGCACACTTGACAATGCAAACACATCTATTTGCATACTTATCCTCATATTTTCAAACATATCCTCAGTAGAAGCAGTTCCAGGAAAAACATAGCCTCCCTGGAGTTTATGTTGTTAAGCATTCAGTCTATTCAATAATGCTTTTTTATTAGCCTCTATACAATTTTAACCTCATAATCAAAAGATGCTAAATTATTATTGAAAGTTTATGTCGAGTACTTTGTTCGATATTACAGAATCTTTGGATCTCAGACCTCCTACTACATCATTACCAAAAGCTTAGATAAACTGTCCTTTTAGCAGCTGTGAATCTATAAGGCTCTGCAGCAAATCGATTCTTGCTTCCTCAGAATAAAGGATTCATCTGAGGGGCAGGAAGCAGAGAGAGCGACCAAGGCAAGTTATAGAGCAGGGGTGAAAGTTTATTAAAAAGCTTTAGAGCAGGAACAAAAAGAAATAAAGTGCATTTGAAAGAGGGCCAACCAGGTGACTCGAGAGAGACTCAATTTCACTGTTTGATCTTTGACTTGGGATTTTATACATTGGTATGCTTCTAGGGTTTTGTGTCTCTTTACCACTGATTCTTCCCTTGGGAAGGCTGCCCACATGCCTGATGGCCTGCCAGCGCTTGAGAAGGGCCCAAGTGTGTTTACTGAAATTGTGCACGTGTATTTACTGAAGTTGTGCAGTGTGTTTACTGAAGTTGTTCACATAATAATTTGAGATATTCTCCCCTTACCAGTCAGGTGTTCCTAGAGGAAGGTCATATACCAGTTAAACGCCAACATTTTGCTTCTTAGTGTGCATGCTTGAGCCCACTGTCCCAACTCCTGAGATCTTATCAGGAAGCTGCTAATCACCAGCTTCAGGTGTTTTTTAATCAATTGGGAGACTGCCTGTCCCTGGCACCAGCTACAACCAATTATTATTGTAGAGAGACAGTTTAATAACTGCCTGCCCATCACCATCACCTGTTGGTTGCCTGATATTTCTAGGGGGAGTGGGGTGGACAGGACCCTCTCCTGCTGCTTATGTCTGACTGACTACCTACTCTAACATTTCCCTCCTCAAGAGTCCAAGACTCCAGTTTTTTTTGAAAATGGATGAAGGTTTGTCTTCTATAATTGCTTCCTGCTGACAGAGGGGTGGCAGTGGTTGTTCTATGGGTCTTGGCTACTTGCTAGCTGTCAGGGAAGGGTGGCTCCATGGGTTTGTGAAAGTGGTATTTCACTAAGTCCAAGAGAGACAAGGGTATGGTTTTACCTCTGTCATGTCCCTCTGATGGGCAGTCTAGGGCTTATGTAGAAGAGTGACTCTTTAATATTGACAGGATGGTATCCCTCACTGAGAATCATCTGGAACTTGATGGCCTGAAGGCAAAAGGAGACAAATTGAGTTATTATATTTAGGAGACATGGACCAAAAAGGAGTAAACATAGGAGACTAACAAGTGGACCTAAAAAGGGAAGAACCCAGAGAACCATTTCCAGGTTCCTTCCCAGTTTAACCAACCCTGAGAGGCTTCTTCCCTTAAATGGGAGACTTACTTTACAAGTTGTCTGGTGTTGTCTTGTGCTTTGCCTGATTGATTTAACCTAAAGCAACATTTTTCATCTAAGGCTAAACAAAACTCCCTGTGCTGCCATTAACTTATCTAATCATGGATGATTCTGGAGGACTATGGCTGACAAAGAGTCAATTTGTTTTTGCATGGTTGTAGAGGTTTTAACTGTGGTGTCACCGTTGTTGGCTATTTCCTTTGAAAATTGGCTATAGATCAAGTAGGCTTTTGTGATTCCAACAATTCTGTACTGCCAAGTCCCATGAGAAGAAGAATTAATTGGATAGCCCTCTTCACATTGGACAAAATGGAATGCCTATAGATAGATACCAGAAAAGAAAGATTGCCAGGCTTTATGAACACATCCAGGGATACATAGTGTGTCGTACAAGTTCCAGTCCAGTTAGTGAGGAGGCATTGGTGAACTGATTGGCCAGAAATATGGAATATTTTTCTGATTTTAAGACTAGTAGAGATGTCCAAATAAGATAAGATATTGGTTCTCTTCAGCATAACTGTGGGCATGGCTAACTCCAGATGTCTCCAGGCCTTACCTAGAATTTAATGGCTTTAAAGCAGGCAAGTTGTAGAGTTAACAGTCATAGTAGCAGTTTATGAAGCGTTTAGTAGGCTTAATAACCTTAAAAATTGTACACTTTTTTTTATAAATTCCCTTTATGCCTTACACAAACCCTCTATGACATACTTTGACTTTTGTCTTGTCCTCATTTTAAACAGTCATTTTACTTTATGGCAAGTATTTATCGTACAAGATCCTTTCTCATATAAAATCTCTTTTCATTATAATCTTCATTACCAAAAAATACCTTTTTTACCTTTATAGCCTTTGAATTTAGACAAAAGTTCTTTTTTTTCTGCTAGGAAGTTATAGTTTGTACAACATGTTGCTGTGCAAGTCCAGTGAAGGGGGAACAGACAAGAAGATTATCTGCATATAGAAGTTATTCCCCTCAAGAGATTGCTTATTTAAATTTTTGCTAGGGCTTGTCTGAATAAGTGTGGGCTATTTCAACCCCTAAAATATAACAGTCCAGGTTTAAGTTATTTGTTTAAAATTTAGGTAGCTTTCCTGGGAGAAATAGGGCTATTAGAGAGAAAGATGAACTCAGAGGTTGTATAAATATTAACCTGGCACCCATATTGGAAAGTATATTTTTGCTTCAATAAGGAGTTAGGAATTTAGATATTACTAGGGACTATAGGGACAATGCTAATTGCTCCCTCAATATAAAGGGATGTGAATCTTTTTTTTTGGAAGGAGAGTGTGTCATTTGCCCCCATTACCTGACAGGATATGGAGAAAAGTTGCTTACAGAAGATTAACACAGAGTAGGCAGCTCTTGAACCCTAATGGGAAATTTATAATTTTACTTGCTGCCTCCAGAGTTGCCCTTGGCTTTGTCTTGTTGATGATAATATCTGATTTGGAAGCCCCCCTGGAGCAGAGAGCCCTTTCAGCTCAAGGCCACCAGGGATTGGAATTCTGTCCTGGGGTCCTTTGACCCTCAGAGTAATCCCATTTTCAGTGGCCAAGCTTGAGGAATAGGGGGCAAGCCATGTGGGAGTTTTTCCTGTTTATTCTATTAGGACAGCTTGCCTTCCAGTGGCCTGGGCTATCACACTAATGGCAGTTACCAGAAAGTATATTCTGAAGGCAACCTGGAGCAAGCTGGAGTTCTTGTAAAGTAACCAGTAGTTGTGCCTGCCTCTTGTACCTGCATTTCTCCTTCTCTTTAGCCCTGTCTTCCATGTCCTGATCTTGGTTATAAAAACCTGCAGAGGCTAATCTAAGAACTTCCTGCATAAGGGCACTGAGTTCTAAGGCTGAATTTTGTAATTTTCTCCCAGTTCATTTTTAAGACAAAAAAACCTAATTTGTCATTTTTAAGGTTTGAGGGGATCAAACTTTTCCCAGTTTTTGAGGATGCATCCAAAGAGCATGTTCTGTGGTATGAAGATGTGATTCCCAAAGAGAGAATGGTAATCTCCAAAGAGAGAATGGAGGAACAACAACAAAAAAAAAAAAAAAAAAAAAAAAAACAGGAAAAAGAAAGTATCCCCTCTTATCTCCCTATTATCTTTTTTGAACAGGGCATCCCCTGTTTGTCCTTAAGGTTCCAGAATGACCCGGTCTTACCAGGTGCCCTTAATCTGGAACCCATCTCATCACAATTACCCACTTAGAGGCAATACCAGAGCAAACAGGAGCCCCATAGTCATCCTTGGGATTCCAGAATGAACTGGTCTTACCAGATACCCCTAACCTTGCCTTTATCTCTATTCTTATGATAATCTGTTTTATGCTTATAGTCTGGGACCAGCCTCATCTCTCCTACGGGTACTTTTTTATTTTTTTTAGATAAGAGCTCCCTCTGTAGTCCATGTTGGAGTACAGTGGTACGATCTGCAACCTGCACATCCCAGGCTCAAGCAATTCACCTACCTTGGCTTCCTGAGTAGCTGGGACTACAGGGGCATGCCACCAAGCCTGCCTACTTTTTTGTATTTTTTTGTAGAAATGGGATTTTGCCATTTTGCCTAGACAGGCCTCAAACTCCTGAGCTCAAGTGATCTGCCCCGTTGGCCTCCCAAGGTGCTGGGAGTACAGGTGTGAGCCACCATGCCCAGCCCCTATGGATACTTTTATCTCTTCTGCCTATGGCCTTGGGCTGGCCTATATCCCTGTCTCCATGACCTTATAGTGACTCTCACTCAAAGAATTCCAGCAAAATGATTATCTCTTTTCTCAGATTCCTATTTCCTATGTTCTTTAAGTAGACATGAAGTCTATTTTTCAGCCAAGTGCCACAAGAGGGCTGGACTTCCCTCCCTTCTAATATGACCTTGAAAGCCCTTATGCAAATTGAGAAGGGCATAGAAGTGTTTAGAGGAAGGGAGAAAAAAATTCTATTTGGAGTTACTTATCCTCCTGGGATAACATGCAGAACAAATACTTAAGCAGACACAGCAATCCCTCTGCTATGGAAGGAAGTGGGAGGAAGCGAGAGGGATATTCATGGAAAGTCTCCACACACTTGCAGAAACAGTAGCCCCTGGATTGAGAGGGCAACATTTATTCACCCTATTGACATAAAGGAACAACCTCTAGAGGACTTGGGGCCTGAGATAAGGGCTGGAAAGTGGCAAAGGAAAAATTTTCCCTCCTCCCAAAAGGGTGCAAGTAGGCAGAGTCCTTAAAGAGGCCACAGAGTGAGGCCCTATGCAGGCGGACAAACCGCTTCAAAAACCACATAAAAACTTGGCCCTGGAGCATCACAGGGATGAAAAGCTTATAGTAAGTCATAAGGAGCTGGCAGAACAGGGGTTCTGATTCCAATTTGTGTCTGTCCCAAAAATAAACCAACAATGCCTGCAAGGGAGCCTGTTTCTTTGCTCCTGCACAAACAGCAAGAGCCATGGGCACAAGAATAACAGAGAATGTACGTTTCAGGCCAAGAACAAAGTCATGTGGCATACAAAGTCAAATTAGAAAAGAGGCAGACTTGCTCCCAAGGAACACGCTCTGGCAGGTGCACAAGGTCATTTTAGAGTACACACAGAGAAAACAGGAGAGTAGGTGGTGTGTATTTTTGGGAAAGAGCCAATTTTAGTTGAAAAAGCAGAGGAAACCCCATACATTGAATGATCTCAGCTTTAGTCCTGCCATGCTCACAGGCCTCCTGTCTAGGAGGGCCATTAGTGTCTAAGGCTTACTCAGTGTGGACCACAAGGTCCTTCCCACCCCAACAAGCCACCCATCATAGTGAGCTGCCAGATCAATGGGGGACACAGAGCAGCTGTGGCTGAGAGGAATCATTCTCGGGGTTGGCTAGTAAGCAGGAGAGCAAAAAGGGAGAAGAAAACCACGTACGAGTCTTGAACACATCCAGCCAAAGAGGGTAAGGTGTAGAGGTGTCTTACCACCAGAAAATGTATCCAAGTTGTGTCCCACCAAGGTATGTTAGCAGCAGCTAATACATACAGGTCTGAAACAACTCAGTTCTTGCCTCCTCAGAGGAAAGAATTCATCTGAGGGGTAGAAGGCAGAGTAAGAGACCAAGGCAAGTTTTAGAGCAGGAATGAAAGTTTATTTAAAAAAAAAAAGTGTTAGGCTGGGCACCATGGTTCATGTCTGTAATCCCAGCACTTTGGGAGGCTGAGGTGGGCAGATCATCTGAGGTCAGGAGTTTGAGACCAGCCTGACCAACATGGAGAAACCCCATCTCTACTAAAAATACAAAATTATCTGGGTGTGGTGACACATGCCTGTAATCTCAACTACTTTTGAATCTGGGGGAGGCAGAGGTTGCAGTGAGCTGAGATCCCACCATTGCACTCCAGCCTGCACAACAAGAACAAAACTCCATCTCAAAAAACAACAAACAAAAAACAAAAAGAAATAAAGAGGTTTTAGAGGAGGATCAAAAGGAAGTAAAGTAGACTTGGAACAGGGCCAACCAGGTGACTTGAGCAATCCAGGGCACTGTTTGGCCTTTGAGTTGGGTTTTACACATTGGCATGCCTCTGGAGCTTTGCATCTCTTCTTTCCTAATTCTTCTGTTGGGGTTGGCTGCCCACATGCACAGTGGCTTGCCAGCACTTGGGAGGGGCTGCCTGTGCAGTGTGTTTACTGAAGTTGTGCACAGGCTCATTTGAGGTGTTGTTCCCTTGCCTGTCAAGTGTTCCTAGAGGAAGGTCATAAACCAGTTAACTCTGCCATTTCTCCTCTTAGTGCACATGCTTGAGCGCACTCCCCCAAATCCTGAGCTCTTATCAGGAAGCTGTGAATCACCAGCTTTAGGTGTTTTCTATTCATTAGGAGTCTGCCATTCCCTGGCATCAGTTGTGACCAATTATTATTTTAGAGAGACAGTTTAACAACTGCCAGACCATCACTTGATGGTTGCCTGACACTTCTTGGTTGGGGGGTA